AACAACAACAAAAATAAGTCAGAGAGGAAAATAAATGAAATAAACATCCTCTCATCTTACAGCCCTTCCTTCCCCATGAGAACGATGCAAGGACTCGGGGCACCTTCCCAGGCAGAAATGCCGTGCATGCTTCTGCCGGCTCCGAATAGCCAGACATGCGCCGTGGCTTCCCGGCCTCTCCATGTACCGGCGGCCTCCTCCCCGCTGAGCGTAGCTTTACTCGTAAGTGTTCAGTGAAGGCTTTGAGGTTAAATCCCTCGACTGTGTGGGAGCCCCTTTAGGAATCCAGCAGAGCAAAGTAGGCAGGGACTGGCAGCCAGTCGCTGACACACACCTGTAGCCGTCCCAGGTCAGTGCCTCCTCGGGCCGAGGCAAACCACCGAGGCTCCCAGGTCAGCAGTGGGGTCCCCAGCAGCCCACCTTGCAGGAAATGAACTCCCAGGCATCTTGTTTCTCATGGTGAGTCCTTTCAGATGCCCATTTCAACCGGCCAAATTCTTTCCCAGCCGTAGAAGTAGACAAGCCTTCGAAAGTCATCGAATCTCATGGCCACCCGCACAAACGGTTACTGGGTGTCCACTGTCCTGTCTTTCGACTCTGTGCTGGAAGCGACCATCCCCTCCTTCTGATCTAGAAGACAAAGCATGATGATCTCGTTGGTTGCTTTTTCCTACTTTTCATCCAAAGCTGCTGCTTAGCCACTTGGATCACTTACTCAGCTTCTTTGACACTCAGTTTTCAACCCTGTAGCTTGGGTGATTTTGTGTTAATGGGGATGACACACACCCTGGTCCTCGCGTAACAAGCACCATTCTATGTACTCTATATGTAATAACTGCTCTAATCCTCCCAACAGCACTTTATAACATCACCATCTCCTTCTTCAGGTTGTACATGAGGAAACCAAGGCACAGAGTACTCCATTGTCCAAGGTCAGCAGATCGGTAGCAGCCGATCTGAAATTCAAACCCAGATACCCTGGTCCACAGTCTGCAGCTTAGGGGTTACAGCATTCTGTTTTCCAACGTTGCCATGGGGATTTAAATCAAGAATATAAATCCTGTTTAATCTATAGCACTGACTTACCGTCAATTATTATTAGCTCATTACTACCTGGAAACATTGCATTCTGGCCAAGGTCCAACAGACCAAGCACATACCAGTAAATGACTCTAATAGGGAGATACTAATTTATTTCCTTTCATGTCCAGTTTTTATAAACTGGAAAGTTGGGAGTTTCTGGTTATAGTAATACCTACAGTTCATTGAACACATACCGATATCATATATTTTTTTTTCATTTATTCCCCATCAATAGCCCTGATACATGCACTATTATAACTTAGTCTTAAAGGCAGAGAAATCGGGGTTCAGCAAGGTCGATTATCTTTCTAAGCTCACACAGCCAGGGACTAGAGATGAGCTTCCAACCCAAATCCATCTGATTCCACCGGCCAGGCTCTTACCTCTGATACTGTGTGGAATTCTTTCTGGCTTTTTACCTTGGAAACTCTAATTCAAAGGATTCTGTGTAGCACAAACCTGATTTCCGCTTCCCGTGCCTGAACTCTCACGGAAGAGTCTCTCTGATTTTCTTTATCAAAAGCCAATAAAAGAGAATGCCTTCCCTACTGTTCCCAGAAGGTTTCCCCACGTCCCTGTTTCCCCGAAGCGGCATTACAATTAGCGTACATGTGGCCCGCAGCCAGACCTGGGAGGTGGCGCGCGTTCTACCGAAAGCACCCACACACTCCTCCGGGGCCACCGAGTGAAGGAAACGAGGCCACATCACACAGACCCGGACTCCACTGCGGGCCGGCCAGGAAGGCCTGGGTCACGTTCCCGTAACTGCCGAGTCAGGACTCCGCAGACCTCTGTCACCACCCGCATGGAGGAAGCCCAGCAGACAAACACATGAGCAGGTAGATAGAGCAACCGTCCAGTGTCAGAGGGGGGCTGCGCCACTTCCGCACCCCTGTTGAATGGAGACGTTGGCAGCCTCGCGGGCCCCGAACCGGCCATCCAGAACAGTTTGATTGCCTGCTTGATTGTTTGCAAGATAACTGCGCGATTGTCAGTGACGGGGTAATTTACTGAAGATTGCCGTGTCAGACGCCACGCGAGGGGCTTGCTGGCATGAAGCTGCGACTCTCGTGACTGACAGGCCACTGGGAGGTGGGAGTGCCAATTCAAAGTTCCCAGTGTCGTCCGAAAGTGTTCGACGGCACCACCCCGTAATCACACGACAAGATGAGGTCATTACAGGCGTCACATGTGCTCACGCCTCGTACCGGGTAGAATCCCGAACACGCCCTCTGTGGAGCAGGTGGATGTACATACATAGGAGGGGATCGCGTACGTGGTGGTTTTTCCCTTGCTTTGGCATTTGCCATTTGCCATTGCTGATGTGTTTGTAGGACATCTCCTGCCAGGCAGGCCCTTGAATAAAAAGCCCAGAATACAAGTCAACAACATAGCGGGGAGGTCTGAGGTCCACGCTTTTGAAGTACTCACAAGTCCAGAAGGAGTGGCAGACCAGAGGGGCTGATGGGGGAAAAGGCTCAATGCTTAATAGGAAACTGTCTTTCGTCATTATCCGAGCTGCTAAAGTCCTCAAGCTGCTTGTATGGATGGGTGTGTAATGGGCGGGGGATGGGCAGGGGCACGGTCCCCGTTTCAGGAGGGGAGGGCCAGCAGAGATGGACGGAACCCCTAGTGGGAAGTGGCCTTGAGAGATCTGTAGTGCTAATAACAGTGGGTCTCTCCTCACCTGAGATGTTCCCGCGGCTGCTGAATGAAGCGCTGGCGACGTAGCTCAGCGGGGTGTTTTTAAATCCCAAGCAGGCATGCGCGCGGACTCCCTCCTTGTAGTGCAGGTGGCCCGTGGAGGGTGATGTAAAAGGCAGAACCCTGTGCTTTCTGTTCCTCACTCTGCCCAGGGCTCTGGGATCCACTGGCCAGTGGATCTGAAACAGTGACTCAGCATCTTCCTGCTGCCGCTGCTAAAATCCCAAAGGCTGTCTCGTGGGTGTGAGGTGTGGGGTGGGGCGGCACCGGGGAGCACCCAGTTCAGCCAGCACACCGGGCGGAGGGGTTCGGAACCTCAGCTTTGAGAGTCTGTCAGTGTAAAGCGTGCGAGCCTGCTCACCCTCCTGCGTCTGCATTTGTGGGGCCTTTTGTAAGTCTTGTGTTCAGAGGCGCAGGGACCACATGTCCCACGTGGAAAATGAGAGGCTAGTGTGACTCATCTGCAGACGAGCATGAGACGCAACCTCCTCATGTGTTTGTTTGCTAAAAAGAAAGTAATGCATTAAAACAATTGTACATTAATTGCTAAATTACAGTGGAACTTTGGTGAAATTACATACTTCGATTTTGTTAGCGGAACCAAACAAGGAGGGTAACACACACAAAAAAAAAAGTGACACGGGACTCGATCTAAAGCACATAGCCCGGCCTCTGATTGGGCATTCCAATGCAAATGTTTGTCAGTTCACAGACCAGGGCTTGAGGGTGTGACCCTATGGTGCTAAGTATGGCCTGAAAATGCCTTGCTATCTTGTCCAGGGAGTGCAAGCAAGTTCTTCTCCAAGCCCCCCCACTGTGTTCAATCAATTCTGGGAATAGTGACTAAGGGTTGGCCAACTAATCCGTTCTGATAGGGAATTCCAAGGAGTGTACACTGCCCTTAACACCCCCATCCTCAGCATTAACGAACGAGTGAGGAATGGGAAAGTCATCTGCTCGTTCAGCAAACATTAGTTGGGTGCCCAATTCCGTGCTTGGCACTAGGGGAGGCATGGATATAGACGTGAACGAGACACTGTTCATCTCTTCAAAGAGCTCATTTTCCAGGCAGGAAGACAAGCATACAGAGATAATTAACTTCAGCACAATGAAGTTGGCATTAACAACTGCTTCTAAAATGTATTGTGCATTAGAATCACATGAGAAGCGTGTTTAAAATGCGGCTTCCAGAACCGGCTTCTGGAGGCTGTTGCTGGGGAGGCCTGGGGCAGGCCCTTGGTTCTCACGGGGGTTTGATGCAGAACGTTCCTGAGAACCTCTGCTTCCGGGACACAGAGAACAGGAACTCCTGGCCTCGGGAAGGACACCATCAGGAAGGCATTCCGGAGGAGGCCACAGCTAGCTTGGGTCTTAAAGGACCAATCATGCCCACCATTGTCAGCTCCTTAAGGACAGACACTATCATTGCGTGTTCTTTGTTCCCTGATTTATTTCCAGGACATGATGGCACTCAAATACTGTCGAATGGTAGGGGAACAAAGAGGAATCAGCCGGGGATGGAGGGGTGGGAATCTAAGCAAGGTACTCAGGATGTTCAAAGCCCTGCAGGTATGCAATCAGGTAGCACCAGAAGCTACTGGGGAACTCGTGGCCTAATTTGGGGGTGTTCCAGCTGCAGCTATATCTTCACCCATCCTGGCAAAGGTAAAACTCACCACACCTGGTTCTCCACCAGGTCAGCAGAACCATCCTTGGCTTAGAGGGAGCAGGGATGCGATGGTTTTCTCCCCTGATGTGAGATTTAAGGAATCCTGTGCACCCATTCACACAGGCCCCCGAGAGCTGGCCATGGTCAGTTTTTGTGCTGGGGTTTTTGTTTGTTTTATATATATATATCTTTATTGTTATGTGCTGTGTTGTTTTAAAGCAAAGTGTATGTTTTTATTCCCAACCACTCAACTAATACCTGCTTATAATAGAAAAAGTAGAAATTCCAGACGAGAAAAATAAAGGAAGAGAAACACGCTATAATCTATGACCTCGGGATCACCATTTGTCAACATTTTCTACTATTTCCTTTCCATCTTGTGTGCTCTCTGCATATGCATTGGAATTGCACTAGGATGGTTGCGTGAAACCTGCCGAGCCAGGCCTTTGGGAGGGTCGATGGTCCTCAGGACCGAGGTGTGAGTATCTCTGAGCAGCTTTGTGCCTTGAGGTCCACTGAGCCTGGCCCACCCCTGCCCTTCCAGATGGCCTGGTGGATTGCCTGGACCCTGACTGCTGCCTGCAGTCGGCCTGTCAGAACAGCCTGCTCTGCCGGGGATCCCGGGACCCCCTGGACATCATTCAGCAGGGCCAGACAGACTCGCCCGCAGTGAAGTCCTTCTACGACCGCATCAAGCTCTTGGCGGGCAAAGACAGCACCCACATCATCCCTGGAGACAACCCCTTCAACAGCAGGTAGGCACCTCCGTCCTTGCAGGCTGCTGAGGTCTCTGGTTCCCTTCCTCTCAGGGCAGGAGGAGTGCTCCTGGTTTTTCTGTGGGCCTAGTGGGCTAGAAACTACCCCAGGGGATAGCTCCCAGATCCAGTGCATAGGAAGGAGACCCTTTCCCCAGGGGCAGGTGGATCTCCAGAGCAGAGCCCTGGTCTCTCCGTAGGATTTGGCCCCCAGAACCTGCTAGAGACACTTGCTGATTGCCTGGCTTTTAGATCATTTTTATGGCCTATTATTTTTTCATACTATTATTATTTTAAGTCTCCCTTTATAATACCCCTGACTGTGGCTTTTGTCTGATCATTGCTGAAACATTTCATTCAATGGAATATTAACTTGATGGCATAACTTACTCTGGCATCCTACCGTCGAGATGATGCCAGTTGGTAGAATTTATTGAGCACCTGTGATGAGCCAGAGCCTTTATGTAGATTATCTCTAATCCTCATGGCAACCCCATCAATTAGTGTCTGCTAATTGCTGACTTTGTGCAAGGCATTGTGTCGGTCAGCACACTGCCCCTCTCGTTCCAAAATGGTGGGGGTTCTCTTGAGATTGTTTTTGCTCTCCGTTGCTCATTTGAGGCTTAGGTATAGTCTAGGAACAAACTCTGGGTTTATTTTTTAGTCAGCGTGGTCCCTCTTTCCCCCACCCAAGGACAGCTTAGAAGTGTGCTCCCTAGAAAAGAGAGCAAAGGGAACGGTAGGCTTTGAAACACCAGCCATCCCCTCCCCTCTAGGCACTGTTTCTGATGCTGAGGGTGAGGAGAGGGACAGGAGACACAGGGGTCTCCTTGGGGCCTGCCTGCCTATCACCGAGTCTCTCTTGGTCCGCCTGGGCCCAGATGTGATGGTGTCTGCAGACGTGAGGGTGGTGGGCACGATCTTCTTGGGGGCACCCCAGCTTCTCTCCAAGCTCCGTCCCCTGGAGAAACAGCACCACCGGTTGGGTCCTCTCTCACAAAACCTCAGGAACTAGGAACTTGAGCAGAGTGGTCCTGGCCCCTGACAGCCCTCACCATGTCATCTCTTAGTTCTCTTTCTTCTCGCTTAGCTCTAGGTAGCCCCGGGGGCAACTCGGGAAGGATGCTGCTCAAGCCACTTCCATCCAACAAAGAAAATGTCAGACTTCATTTCTCAAAGAGCCCCTAACTTTCGAAGCAGTTGTCTTGGAGCCCCCGTCATTAGGCTTTGGGGGGGAGACATCATCAGGCCGGGACTCAGACTGCTCTCCCCGCTGGAGGGGGTGGGGAGGTGGAGAGGAAGGCGGAGCTAATAATCCGACAGCCCCTTCGAACTCGGGGAAGATGTTCGGCCCCAGTCCCCGGCAGCTCTTTGAACACGAGCGTGCCAAGTGAGGTCGCTTTGGGCCAGCAACTTTAGCCTCTCTCTTTTCTGGTTTTACTAAAAATAAAAGAGAAAAGAAAAAAAAATAATCTCAGCCCTCTCCTGTTTCAGCCCTGACCACGCCTCCCCCACCACCCCCAGCTGTGCCACATTAGACAAGTTCTCTGACCTCATGAAGTTCATTTTCTTGATTGGTAAAATTAGGATAATATGTGTAGAATATGCCACACGGTCCTATTATTTTAATACAAAAACCCCTCCATCAAAAATAAAAGAAACCACAAATCTCTGACCAAAAAAAAGGATTTCCTCTGCTTGTTAAATCTTAGTTCTGGGACAGCGATTCTGTAGGGATGTTTTCTTTTTAATTATGAACATGATTCCTATTGCCAAAGACCCCGGACTGGTCCTTGCACTGAGTTCAATTTGCTTGCTTATACTGTAAATGACCCTTTCAAAGCTTTGTCTCAGTCGGCTTCCTGTTAACATTTTATTATTTCTACTCTCAATCTAGTCATTTCCTGATATTCTCCTTTTTTTTAAATTGTCACCCAAGGATATTTTTCTCTTTATCTTCAGCTAGAGTGGGCGGGAGGGAGAGAGAAGGAGAAAGATGGAGAGAGAGAGAAACATCAATGTGAGAGGGACTCATCAGCTGGTTGCCTCCCTCACAACCTGCACCCGAGGTACGTGCCCTTGACCAGAATTGAACCCGTGACTCATTGGTCCATCCACATGCCGATGCTCTAACCACTGAGAAAACCGGCCAGGGCAATATTCTTCTTTTCATATTCTTTCTTCACCTGTCCGTTATTATTATTTTCTTTTTTAATCCTCACCCGAGGACATTTTTGCATTTATCTTCAGACGGAGTGGGAGGAAGAGAGAGAGAGAGAAACATCAACGTGAGAGAGACACATCGAGTGATCGCCACCTACACGACCCCAGCCAGGGCTGGGACAAACTGCAACCGAGGCACACGTCCTTCATGGGAACCAAACCCAGGTCTCTCCGGTCCGCAGGCCGACGCTCTAACCGCTGAGCCAAACTGGCCAGGGCAATAGTCTCCTTTTCATATTTTTTCTTCACCTTCCCTTACAATTTCATCTTACCATCCTTACCAAAAGTCCCATTGGCACAAGACACCTGGCGCCTCGAAGGAGGCTAGCAGACAGACTCCAGAGCCATGAGCAAAAGAAACTTGCTTTATATCTAGAAAGCTCACCCCCCAAATGAGCCCACGCGCCAACACGTCAGCGTGGATCCATAATTCAGAAGCACAAAATGTTCCTTCAAGACATAGGTTGAGCCCTGGCCGGTTTGGCTCAGCGGTCAGAGCGTCGGCCTGCGGTCCGGAGAGACCCGGGTTCGGTTCCCGCTGAGGGCACATACCTCGGTTGCAGTTCGTCCCCGGCCCTGGTTGGGTCATGTGGGTGGCAGCCTCTCGATGTGTCCCTTTCACGTCGATGTTTCTCTCTCTCTCTCCCTCCCACTCTATCTGAACAAAACATGGAAAAATATCCTCGGGTGAGGATAAAAAAAAAAAAAAGACATAGGTTGAAGTTCACCAAGCTTATGAATTTCAGTGCGTTACTGTCTGACAAATAATGAAGAACAAAACTCGAGTAGGAAAAAAAAAAAAAAAAACTAATCCAAGACTTCCAAGAAGGCATTTCCCTAGATAATGACATACAAAAATAACTAAAATGCTTTGACTCCACCACTATAATTTAGAGAGCAGATCTCACTATCTAGATAATGTGATAATTGTTACACATCAATAATCATAAATGGAAATGTATTGATAGCATGCCTTAGCCCAATCTTTTCTGCAAATTGACTGCCTAGAAATGATAGGAAGCCAGGAGCGATGAGAATTAGAAAATAGGGGGTAGAAATCCCAGGCAACCCAGCTTCTTATATGTCTACTGCTCTCTGCAAAGGCTCACGCTATAAGAATGATTGTAAAAAATAGTGATGTGCCCTGGCCAGTTTGGCTCAGCGGTTAGAGCATCGGCCTGCGGTCCGGAGAGACCCGGGTTCGGTTCCCGCTAAGGGCACGTACCTCGGTTGCAGTTTGTCCCCGGCCCTGGTTGGTCGTGCGGGTGCAGCCACTCGATGTGTCCCTTTCACATCGATGTTTCTCTCTCTCTCTCCCTTCCTCTCTCTCCCTCCCACTCTATCTGTACAAAAAAAAAAATGGAAAATATCCTCAGGTGAGGATAAAAAAAAAAATTTAAAAAATAGTGATGTAAAAAGGGAGGGAGGGACTCCGAATTTTGTTTTCCCATCACAAGTACTTTGTACCTTGTGGTCATCGACACACATTGTGGATTTTAAAATTGTGTCTGGGAAGATCCGAAAGAAATCTTAGTCTGAGCTTAAGATAAGGAACCAAAATTGAACAAAAGAATTATTTGCATAAATTAGTTTTCCACTTTCAAAAGACTCTAGCATTGTGGTTGGAACCGGCTAAAAATGGGATTCATTTGTTAGGCAGCCAGTAACAGACAATTAGAACTGTCAGTGGAACCGTCTAAACCCTCCTGAGATCATCCAAGTGTTGGAGTGGAACCGTTGGGGGTACTGCTGATAGAAAGAGAAGCGCTTAGAGGAAGCATCCCTCCAATTGCGGGGTCCCCTGGGATTGCGGGATTAAGTGCATTCCAAAAACTGAGCAGGTTTGGACAAGATTCTGGCAAAGAACGGGTCAGCTTGATTACCTAGTCCAGAAACTGGGCGTGTGTCCAGGAACCTGGAAAACCTCTCTACTTGTGCCAAATTGGCCAGTGGCTTCAAGTCCGATGGACAGCTGCAGACCTGCCCAGCAGGCTGGGGCTCTGTGAACACAGAACTTCTCAGTAGCCCATTTCTCCATGAAGTCAAGGGACTGGGGGCCAGAGGAGGCAGGGACATTCTCCCTCCGTGGATTCTGAATAGAATACTGTGGCATCTCTGTGGCTTTGTGGGTCTTCCCAGAAGCAGCTGGTCAGATAGGGTCCTTCTTGGGAACGTTCTAGTTACTGTCCTCTGGAGAGAGGAGCTTTCTCTGACTGGAAAAAGCTACATGGGACTTCAGCCGCCTCCCCAGCTTTAGGGAGAGCAGGAATTTGATAGAAGAGAAACAGTTGCATGGGGCCCAGAATCCAGATAGCTCCGCCAGAAAACCAAGTATCTCCAGTGTTCTCTCTTCCTAGGCAGTCATGGGTTAGGAGACATTTTGCTCTTAAAAGGCAGCAGAAAACAAGGCATGTAAATGCCCCAGCCTCATAATAAAACTCTGTGTGGTCCCCTCTGCCCTCTGACACTCCGGCCTGGAGAAGAAGGGGAACATCGCCTTCCTCCAAAGACAAGAGAGGAAATGAGTACCCAGACAGGGCAGCTTCACCCAAGTAGGGTGCTCTCTGTGCCAGGCTGCGGCATGAGCCTGAGCGATGAGGGCAGCCGGGAGGTTGGGCCAAGCCAAAGTCATGTGATGTCTAAAAATCAAGCGAGGCCCAGGGGAGAGATCATGTGTGCAGGGGACCCCATTGCCCAGCCCAGGGAGTGGAGATGCTGCCCCTGAGTGTCACCCCAACACGTTGCCAGTTGTGCTGGGCCGAGAAGCAAGCATTGAGACATCTCTTGCCCACGCCTCTCTGTGAGGTGTGATCATGGGAGCCAGAAGTTAACGTTAAAAGTCTTGTCCTTGCCTTAGGGACCAGAGGGGGGCTGGGGAGGAGTAGGCAGCCAATGGGGAAGGGAAGGGGTCTCGACCCCCTGTCTCCTTGTCCTCCTGTGTGTGGCTCAAAGACGTGTTTCTCTTTCCCTCAGCTTGGTTTCGCTCATCCGGGGCCAAGTCGTAACTACCGATGGCACCCCCCTGGTTGGTGTGAACGTGTCTTTTGTCAAGTACCCAAAATACGGCTACACCATCACCCGCCAAGATGGCACGTAAGTAGCTGGTAGGGTTCTGCCTACTCGGGACTTGGGGTGCAGACAGAGACCGATGGCACTGTTGGCTGGGGACCACGCGGCTGCCCGTTGCGGACCGGAATGCCCACAGGCCAGGCCTCCAGTTAGAACCCTCCCAGGGATTGTTTTTTGCTTTTGCTTTTTGATAGGGCATCAAAAATAAAAATAAATGGACTAGCCAAGCTATTAAGGGCTGCCAATAACATTCTCCTCCTTTTTCCAGCTCAGGTAAATGCTCGCGCGTGTGTGTGTGTGTGTGTGTGTGTGGGTGGGGGTTGGGCGGTGAATGCTGGGAAGAAGGAAGGAAAGCAGCCCACTCTTGTTTTAAATCAAAGGCAGTGCAGGTGACAAGGACCCGCATGGCAGTGCCCTGTGGCGGACCCTCCTGCTTTCATCTGTGCTCTTGGAGTTGTTGTTTTCGCTCCTGTTTTGAGGAGGTGGGATGTAATCAGAGAAATCTAATTAAATACATTTAGCCATCGCCCTGCTGTGTGAAGGAGCCAACCTTTCCCTATTATCTTCTGATTAGAAACACGCACCCAGGCAGCCCCCACCGACAGGAAAGCTTCATTTTCCTAATCCGTTGGGCACGAGGTTGCAATGTAAAGAAAAAGATAAGAACTTCCAAAATCTATGGGAAGGGGAAAACACTCACTCACCCTGGGCTAACACACACACACGCACACGCACACGCACACGCAAACAATGAACATTCTATTGCAAATGGAAAGAAGACTTGCTCTAAGTTGGATGCAACACTTCCTATAAAAGGTCAGGGTCTCTGATCTTGCCTTTCTCTGATGACGAGTCTGGTCTTATGCTCTAATGTCCTAAGGTAGTCTTGCAGGTCACCCCCAAAATTACCAGCCCCCCTGTCCTCGCATGCCCACCTGTGCAACCCAAAGAAGACATCTGATTCCCAGTCTTCACTACGTTCCTGATCTCTGACACGTTCCTGCAGCCAAGTCTAGTTATTCGAAAGCCCAAGGACTATATGCTACGCAGAGCTACTTGGGCCCTTGCGCATCCCCAGAATCCAGTGCTCTTGCCTTGCAAAGTGACGACACGAGAGGACACCTTGAGTCCTTGGCCTGCTGTCTGTCCTCATCTGTGCTCCCCAGTCTCTCTGCTGCTTTCATCACATTCACTGGAACTACTTGACTATTGACGTACCTCTGTCCAGCTCTTGAGGAACAAATAAGAATATAGTTTAAGAACGATTGGCTATGGCCCCGGCCGGGGGGTTCAGTTGGGTTGAGTGTCCTCCCCATACACCAAGGTTTCAGGTTCGATCCCCGGGCAGGACACATACATGACTCGACCATTGAAAGCATAAATAAGTGGAACAACAAATCGATCTCTCTCTCTCTCTGTGTGTCTCAAATCAATAAATAAAAAAATAAAACGATTGGCAAAAATATCAGTAACAGGGCACAATAAGTAAAGGGGGTCAAAAGATACAAACTTTCGGTTATCAGATAAAAATGCCCTGGGCATGAAATGGATACAATGGTGACTGTAGTGGTTCATCATACTGTACTGGATATTCGAAAGTTGCTCAGAGTTATTTGCTAAGAACGTTGCAAAGAGATCTTAAAAGTTGTCATCAGAAGAAAGAAACCTTTGTAACCGTGCGGGGGCGGTAGCTGGACCTACTGTGGTGACTGTGTCACAGTATGTACACATATCAAATCATCTGTACACTGAAAACCAATAGAATGCTATATGTCCACTGTATCTCAGAAAAACTAAGGTTCTCTAAAACAACAACAACGAGCCCAGAACAGCCCAGGTGGATGAGAAGAAAGCCCAGTGAGCCCGTCTCTGTGCCCTACCGCCATATCACTGTGACGCCCCGATGTATTAGCCTGGCATGATGCTCCATGCTTCATTCTAGGAGCGGGGAAGCATTTTCTGTAACAGACCAGGTCGTAGGTATCAGGCTTTGCATGACATGCAGTTTCTTCTTAAAACTCTTCAGCTCCGCCCCTGTAGCACGGAAACATCTCAAGCCAATAGTAAGGGAGTGGGCGTGGCTGTATCCCAATAACAGGTGCTGGGCCGGGTTTAACTCCTGGGCCTCGTTTGCTGACCCCTGCTCTGCACTCCTCATGATATTTCATTCTCTCAGCCACTCTTTGAAGTTGCTATAATTACTCCCATTTCATGGATGAAGAAACTTGGGCTCGGAGAAGGGTCTTTAACTTGCCCACAGACACACGACTAGTAAGTGGGACGGTTTGGGTTCCAACCAGCTCGCCAGCCTCCAAAGCGCATGCCCGTGTCCTGCATGCTCTGCCCCTCCCCCTGCCCTCAGGTGCGGAGGTCAGAGTACCTGCGGTGTCCGGAGGTGAGTCCACCCTCTCAGGGAGCCCGCTTCCCTCCTCTCCAGGTTTGACCTGATCGCCAATGGGGGCGCCTCCTTGACCCTGCACTTTGAGCGAGCGCCATTCATGAGCCAGGAGCGCACCGTGTGGCTGCCGTGGAACAGCTTCTACGCCATGGACACCCTGGTGATGAAGACCGAGGAGAACTCCATCCCTAGCTGTGACCTCAGCGGCTTTGTCCGGCCAGATCCAATCATCATCTCTTCCCCGCTGTCCACCTTCTTCAGCGCCGCCCCTGGGCAGAATCCCATCGTGCCCGAGACCCAGGTAGGAATGGCAGGGACCACGGTGATACTCAATACCGCCTTGACCGAACCTGGCTGGCCAACCGCTTCCCACCCCGTCTCTCCCTGGGTGGCCCAGAAACCAGTATTACGGGGAGAAACAAAAAGTAGGAACACAATAGAGTCTGTAGTCACTGAAGAGAAAGCCGAATCTCTCCTGGACATTCTAGATGCTTCCAGATAGTCGTTCAAGACCTTGGCAGGCACCAGAGCTTTTAATAAAGTAGAAGCAATATACATATGTGCAACCCACCTGCAAACCGCTTTTTATTCCTGTTAGTCACAGAGATACATGATGAGAGGCGCTTTAATGATCTACATCGGCGCTGCAACAGAGGGCATATTACATTATTGCCTCCCTGTTGCTTTATACCAATTGTCTGTGGAAGATGCAGGTTCGTGTAATTACAGCCCCTCGCGGCCTCCTCGCGTGCCGCGAGCAACACAGCCTGCTGTTCTTATTTACATCTTTTGCCAACCGTGTGGTTTTTAAAAAGAAACACAACAGTGACCAAGAATAATTATTAATCCAAAAATCATAACCCCAGCCCCTTTGCTCTGTGGTGTAGGATGAAGTTTGGGTTTGGGGGGAGGGAGGAGGTTTCCATCCGTTTGGGGAATGGGTTCTTGCTTGATGCTTCGGTGCAGGTGGCCGCCCCGGGGGTGGCGAGTGGCCGCCCGGGGGTGGCGAGTGGCCGCCTGGGGGTGGTGAGCGCCCACCAGCTGCAGGGGTTTCATGCAGGGGATTGTGCCGCGTGTTTTCAGGTTCTTCATGAAGAGATTGAGCTCCCTGGTTCCAACGTGAAGCTTCGCTACCTGAGCTCCAGGACCCCAGGCTACAAGTCGCTGTTGAAGATCACCATGACCCAGTCCACGGTGCCCCTGAACCTCATCAAGGTCCACCTGATGGTAGCCGTAGAGGGACACCTCTTCCAGAAGTCATTCCAGGCCTCTTCCAACCTGGCCTACACCTTCATCTGGGACAAGACAGACGCATACGGCCAAAGGGTGTACGGACTCTCTGACGCTGTTGGTATGTTTGGGTTTCAAACCCCTCTTGACTCTTAGATTTCATCATGTGTTAATTCAGCCAATATTGATGGCGTTCCTAATAATGTGCCAAGAGCCCAGCCAGTGTTGCTCAGTGGTTGAGCGTCGACCCATGCACTAATGTGTGCCGAGTACTGTTCTAGTAGACAGAAGCGCAGTGGTCAGTGAGCCAGACAAGAGTCCTCTTCCATGGACCTCTGCTCTAGTGGGGGATGGAGGTAATAAACACAAACTGGACAAGAAAAAAAGCAGTCATAAGTGCTACCACAAAAATAAAAATAAGTGATATTGCCCTGGCTGGTTTGGCTGAGTGGTTGGAGCGTCGGCCCCTGGACCAATGAGTTGCAGGTACGATTCAAGGGCATGTACCTCGGTTGTGGTTCATCTCTGGCCCTGGTTGGGGTCGTGCTGGAGGCAACTGGTCGATGTGTGTCTCTCACATTGATGTTTCGTTCTCTCTCTCCCTCCCTCTCTACCTCCCTCTGTCCCTCTCCCTCTCTCTCTCTCTCTCTCTTTCCCTCCTTACTCCTCTCTCTCCTTCCCTCCCACTCTATCTGAAGATAAATAGAAAAATATCCTTAGGTGAGGATTAAAAAATAAAATAAAAATAAGTGGCATGGACTGGGGAGGAGTGATGCACACTGGGAACGCCTTTTACCAACGGCGCAGGGAAGGCTCCTTGGTGGGTGGGGTTTGATCAGAGGCTTGAACGACAAGGAGCCTGTGGGGTCAGGAAAAGAACACTCTTCCTGGCAGAAAGAGAGACGAGCGAGGTGAGTGGAGGACAGAGAGAGGCCAGTGAGGCTGGAAGGAGAAGACTCGAGATGGGGGAGGTGGTCGCTCCCAGAGTGAGCCCAGAATGCACCGCAGTCAGCAACCAGCCCCGGGGGCGCTGAAAGCCACACGCTGTTTCAGGCTTCGCCTCTGAGGGGCTCACAGGCCCCCCGAGGACAGACCCCAAGGGCAGGGTGCTGCGGCGGTCAGTCCTCGAGGGCTGCGAGCCGTCGTTCCGTCGGCCTCCCCAGGGCAGTTTCCTGCTGTAGAAAGCCGTCTGGGTTTGTTAACACCCAGGGTCCTGTGTTGTTGGCTTTTTGTTTGTTTTTGTTACTTTACCAAGAGGCTAGTGATTTTCCAGAACTGTAGTAAGTTACCAAAATACGGAACCTGCACACTCAGAAATGTTCACCGTGCGTGGCGGCCAGCGCTCATGAGACATACCCTGAGCACTGTGACAACTCCTTCATCTCGGGAGCCCTGTCGAGTGAGCAGTCTCTCAGCCTCACTGGGCAGGTGGGACAGGAGGCTGAGGGCCAGGACATCGCCTCAAGCCAGGCTCCAGCAGGTGGGACGTGCTCAGGAAATGACCCTAATGGTCTGCTTCCACAGCAAGTGGAGTCAGTAACCTAATAAAGGTAGTAATGACTTATTGGGGCAACAAGTACGCTTAGTATAAACAAAATAATATATCAAAATAATATATCAAGCTTTCGCCATTATCAAAATGATAACCGGCATCAAAAAGTAAAATATTATAATGTACCCCATGTACTTTAATTTCTACCATTATCTTTTTTTTTCTTTATTGATTTTTAGAGAGAGGAAAGGAGAGGAAGAGAGAGATAGAAACATCGATGAGAGAGCATCCATTGGCCGCCTCCTGCATGCCCCCCCCTGGGGATCGGGCCCACAACCTGGGCATGTGCCCTGACCGGGAATTGAACTAGCGACCTCTTGGTGCATGGGTCAATGCTCAACCACTGAGCCACACCAGCTGGGCAGCTTCTACCATTATCAACTCATGATGAATCTTATTTATTCCATACTCTTATCCACTCCCCTGCCTCTCATAATTTTCTGAAGCAAGCCCCAGGTATAACATCATCTCATCCGTAATATTTCAGTGTGTATCTCTAAAAAACACTTCATAAGCGCAGCGACAATACCACTATCACAGCAAACAAACACAGTAACTTCTTAATGCCATCAAATTGCCTGTCATTGTTCAGTCATTCGATTGTCATGACGATCATAAAACATCATTACTTTGACTCAGAAGCCTGATGAGACCCACCCTTTACAATGGGTTGATTTCTCTTAAATTATTTTAATCTGGGGTTTTCCCTTCCGTCTCTGGCTCTCTTTCTTATGTTTTATGATTTATTTGTTGAAGAAACTGTGTCGTTTGCCTGTGGAATTTCACAAAATCGGGTTTGTTCCTGATTGAACACCTGTGACTGCAGAACGTATCTCCTGTAAATTAATAGCTGGATCCTGAGGCGTTCTCGGGGTCAGGTTGATTTTTATTTATTTATTTTCTTAACCTACACAAACTTTTTAAATTGAGGTCTAGTTGACGTACAGCATTATATTATCGTCAGGTGTACAACATAATGATTTGACATTTGTATGTGTTGTGAAATGAGCGACACAATGAGTCTAGTTAATATCTATCACTATACGTGGTTACAAAAAGTTTTGTGTGTTGAGATCTGAGATGTACCCTCTTAGCTACTTTCAAGTATACAATAACGTATTAACTATAGTCACCATGCTGAACATAACATCCCCAGGACTTATTTCCTTTATAACTGGAAGTTTATACCTTTTGACTCCCTTCACCCATTTTGTCTACTCCCCAACCCCCACCTCTGGCAACCACCAATTCTCTGTATCTATCAGCTTGTTTGGGGGGATATTTTTTAAGATTCCACGTATAAGTGAGATCAAAAGGTATTTGTCTTTCTCTGTCTGACTTAATTCACATAATGTCCCTCAAGGTCCATCCATGTTGTTGCAAATGGCAATGCTTTATATTTTTTATGGCTGAATACTATTCCATTGTATGTGTGTACCACACCTTTGTTCATTCATTCATTCGTTGATGAACACTTAGGTTGTTTCCATATCTTGGCTCTTATAAAGTTGCAATGACTATGGGGCTGTATATATCTTTTGCGGTTAGTGTTTTTGTTTTCTTTGGATAGATACCCAGAGTGGAATTGCTGGAACATATGGTAGTTCTGTTTGTAATTTTATGAGAATACGTCATTCTGTTTTTCATAATGGCTGCACCAGTTTACCTTCCCACCAACAGCACATAAGGGTTCTCTTTTCTTCCCATCTTCTCCAACACTTGCTATTTCTTTGTTATGATTATTAAATATATTGGGGTGATATTAAGATCACATAGGTTTCAAGTGTCCATTTCTATGATACATGGTCTATATATTGCATTGTGTGCCCACACCCAAAGTCAGATCATCTTCCATCACCATATATCTGTCCCCCTTCACCCTTTACTGCCCCCACCCCCTTCCCTCAGGGAATCACCATACTGTTGTCTGTGTCTGTGGGTTTCAGTCTTATATCCCACATATGAATGAAGTCATGTGGTTCTTAGCTTTTTCTGACTGGCTTATTTCGCTTAGCATGATATTCTCCATTGCTTTGGGTAGTATGGACATTTTAACAATATTCTTTTAATCCATGAGCATGGAATATCTTTTTATTTATTTGCTTCTTCTTCAATTTCTTTCATCAATGACTTATAGTTTTCAGTGTGCCGGTCTTTCACCTCCTTGTTTAAATTTGTTCCTAGGTATTTTATTCTTTAAATTTTTTTTCTTTGTTGATTTTAGAGAGAGGAAGGGAGAGGGAGAGAAAGAGAGAAACATCCATGAGAGAGAGCATTGATTGGCCGCCTCCTGCATGCCCCCACTGGGGATCAGGCCCACAACCTGGGCATGTGCCCTGACCGGGAATCGAACCAGCGACCTCTTGGTGCATGGGTCGACGCTCAGTCACTGAGCCACACTGGCAAGACTCATTCTTTAATTTTTTTTTCTTAAAGTGGGACATCTTGCTAGGAGGTGCTGTCTTCTTCCATCAGGAGATACCGAATGTCAGCTGATCGATCCTTTCGGGATTTTAGTAGCCTTCGATGCCTATCGCCTGATCCATTCGGTCATCAGGAATTACAAAACGATATTTTAGTTCTATCATTGCTTCTTTATTCGCTAGAATACTTTCATATAGTGATACCTTCCCTTTAACTGCTTGGTTATTTGAGGTACAGTTCAAATAAGAAAGAAAAGATAAATGTTTGTTTCCCTTTATTTTGAGGTACAGTTCAAATAAGAAAGAAAAGATAAATGTTTGTTTCCCTTTATTTACTAGTTTTCAGTGTAATGAGTCTTCTTTTAACATCCTCTAATGGTGGCAAATCAGTGTTTCTTAAACACCATTATGAACTCGCAGAGTGAAGTGTCTCTAGTATGTTTCAGTCCCTTGGAGTTACCTTGATGATTGTGCAAATGGCGCCATCTCTGGTGGGCAGAAGCCCTTCAAGCTGACTCCCAGATTCTTTCCACACGACCCCAGTAGATGTTTATTCCTTCCTGTCTATCTAGGATGATAAAGTGGCCCGGCCTCGTTCATTTCTTGCTCTGGCCATTTCTTCAAGGAGCCCTGATTCCTTTTAATGAGAAATAATATTTCAAGGCCACAAGCCAGGCCCGAGCAATTCTCTTTGCCACCGGGTCAGTCACCGTGTCTCGGAATGTTCCGAGGACCAGCTAGGACATATCCGGCCTCTCTAACAAAGACAGAACGTCTCTTCGTGCACATCGACACCCCTCTCTCTCCGGACCGAAGAGAAGCTGCGGAGCATCCCCAGAGGGACGCACGTGGTTAAGGATTTAATGTAGTAGGAGACGCAGTGATCACGATACCTCGTGTTCCGAAAGCAGCGTTCCGATTAGAGACGGTGGCCTCGCGGTGTCCGGCTCCTCCCTCCTTCCCGCTCTCTGAGAAGTGCAGGCTTCACTCTCTCTGTTCTACAGGCGGGAGGGGACGCGCAGGGAGGGCGAGCTGGAGCAGAGGGGACCGAGCCCTTCATCTCCTGCCACGCTCTCCACTTGTCCCTGCGGCCACCACAGGGCTTTTGCAGTGTCTGGATTCTGCTCCCCACTGCCTTGCCACGTCCTTGGCAGGCTGTGTCCTTGTCCCGAGGCCTGCGTCCCCTGGCACTGCCTGGAGTGAGCATTCAGAGAGCCTCCAGAGTCTCCTTCTAAATGAGCCGCTGAGCTTCCGTAGGCCTCTCTCCGAGCAGTGAGAATAAGCCACACACCACCTAGTACGCGCACGCCGCGAGCGGCAGGCGGAGCGAGGCCCGTCTCCTGTCCATCGCGGGGGAGTGTACTGGTGCTCAGTGCGTCCTCTCCCTCCACGTCACTCGGGTCAGTTGTGAAGGCCGGCTGTTCTTTGCAAAGGTCTTTCCCTCCCCACTGAGTACTACTGTGCAAAGTTTCAAGGTTGAGTTCAGCTTGAAATCTGAATGTAATATCGTGTGGACCGGCGAGGAGGAAAGCAATCAGCCCACCTCCTTGCGTGGGGTTTGGGAATGGGGTGGGTATTGCGTGAACGCGGGTTTCCTGGGCCTGACGAGAGCCCCCGAGTAATCGAGTCAACTCTCTGGTCTCCCGCCCTGCCCCCTCTTCTCTTTCAGTGTCTGTGGGGTTCGAGTATGAGACCTGCCCCAGCCTCATCCTGTGGGAGAAGAGGACAGCCCTGCTGCAGGGGTTCGAGCTGGACCCGTCCAACCTCGGCGGCTGGTCCCTGGACAAACATCACATCCTCAACGTTAAAAGTGGTATGTGAGCACGTTTCCTTGCTCAGATCCAGCCTCGTGTCTCCTCTGGAACCTCCTCTCCGGCCTTGACATTTAATCGATAGCCTCTCCCCTTCCCTCGGCTGTTTTTCATCAAATGCCCAAATACGCGCAGGTTTTCCCACCTTCTCTTTTTAAATGTCAAAGAGTGTTGGGCTGGTTCTCCCAGACCATCCGCCTTCGTGTACCTCACAATCCTTCTTCAGTTATCTCCAGAAATGTCCCCTCCCCAATACCATAGCCTTGGGGCTTACCCAGCCCCTGGCAGCTCTCAGCATCACGAGGACAGCGGGGAGCTCCCCGCAAGGTCCAAGTGTCCTAGCTTCTCTCCTCCGTGTCACTCCCCGCCTCCCTCAGCAGGCCCCTAGAAGTGTCCCCCTCCAGGGCTGCGGTGACCACCTCGTGTGCCCCCGCAGGCATCCTGCACAAGGGCACCGGGGAGAACCAGTTCCTGACCCAGCAGCCCGCCATCATCACCAGCATCATGGGCAACGGCCGCCGCCGGAGCATCTCCTGCCCCAGCTGCAACGGCCTGGCCGAGGGCAACAAGCTGCTGGCCCCCGTGGCGCTGGCTGTGGGCATCGACGGGAGCCTCTTCGTTGGCGACTTCAATTACATCCGGCGCATCTACCCCTCTCGAAACGTGACCAGCATCCTGGAGTTACGGTAAGCGGCCACACGGAAAACCTCCTTGTGCGTGGCTTCAGTGGGTCGATGGTGGCCGCATGGGGCTTCTCCAGAGAGTATATATTCCCTGCGATGGGCTGAGGTTCAAAACCTAGGACGAGAGTCCAGTTAGGATTTGGGGAAGAGCTCTGTGTAGCTGCAGGACACCACGCACACCTTTGATACAGTTGTCAACACACGACTTCCAGACAAGGGTGAGGAAGTCAGTCATGGTGCTTGGGGTGGGACCTGGGGAGCTGGGGGCTATGAAACCTCCAGGCGTGAATCTAACACATCCCAGACAGTGAGAACTACTGCTTGAGGCTGTTGGGCCACTGCTGCGGTTTCTAAAGGGGCACTTCTTAGAAAATACAGACTCCAGGGACCCCCCCCCCAGGGGCACCGATCCAGCCAGTCTAGAGATGGGCCAGGGCAGCTTTTGTCTCGGACAAGCTCCGTAGTGGATTCTGATGCACATCAGCGTTTCAGAACCACTGATGTGGATTCACTAATGCACACGTTTATATTGAGCCCCTGGTGTGCTAGCTCTCTGTAAGTTCTCTGGGTCTTTGCACGGTCACTAGGGTGTGACTTGGAATTACTTAGAACAGGCAGCACTAGGAAGCGCCTGCCCACCCTCGACAGATCCAATGCCTGCTACGAAGTCTGCAGTCCACACTCCTCTGTGCTGGACAAAGTTTCTTGGAAACTCGCTTCCCAGGAAAGTTGATTGCAGGCCCTCACACCTAGAAAGAGATCTGTAAGTAGAGAGAGATGAGGTCGATAAATAAGGGAGCAAATGTATTCAACAAATACTTGGTGAATGTTTACTGTGCCAGGGGCTGTCTAGCTGGGGGTTGGGGAGAGTGGAGACAGAGTCCTCGTCTTTGTGTTCGTGGCCTGACACGGAACATCACATCGTGTGGACAAATAAAAAATAATTTCAAGTAGCATTAAATACTTAAAGGAAACTCTAACAGGGTAAGAGATGTCGATGATGGTGGGGGCTCAGGAGGGATAAGGAAGCTACATAATTTCAAGGGGTCAGAAAAACCTCCCGGACAAGGTGACATTTAAGATGGATCCTGAATGATGATGTCAACCATGGGGACATCTGGGGAAAGTATTCCAGGCAGAGAGAAGTTGAGCAAAACCCCCAATATCAGCAGATAACCTGGTTATAAGGGATCAATAGAAGTCTGAAACGGCAGGAAGGGCGCAAGCTCAGGGTAGTGTGTTTCAGAGGCGGTCAGAGAGGTAGGTTGCCGACTGATGCTTCAGGGTCTTATTGATCATGCGGATGAGTGTGACTCACATTCTTATTGCAAGGGACAGCCATTGGAGGTTGAAGTAGAAAGTGGGTGGAGTTGCCACATCTGACGGCATTTTTTTAGAGATGATTCTGGCTACTGTGTGGAGATTGGACTGTTGGGGTGCACGAGTGGGGGCCAAGCAGTTGTCCCGGATTTGGGTGATGGTGATATGGACTAGGGTGGTAACGGGAGATGGAGAAGTGTTCCAGTTGGGATATAATTTCAAGATAAATCAGATAGCAGTTGTTGATTTATTGTGTCTAAGGAATGGGGACGAAGACAGACAGAGAGAGAAGACTCAAGGGGATGGCCGGGAAAATGACCTGAGCCTCTGAATGGGTGGTGGTCCTGCTGGCGCGGCCTCTGCCACCAGGTGTGGGACTTGGATGAAGTCACGGTCGCACTTGTATCTTACTGTCTTTGAGGATCCTCCTGGGGGAGAGATCAGTGGTCTGAGCACCAGCCAGTGCTGCTGAATATTCCTGGAGACTGAGACTGTGCTAGGCCCTGGGAGGGGTGAAAGAAAGGAGAAAACTGCAGCTCCACACACGCAGGTTGCGACCTCCGTGCTCCAGTGGACATGCACTGAGCGCGACGGTGAGCCCCCTGTGCTGGCTCCAAGGGGCCGGACGGGGAGGAAACCCACGTTCAGAGAGCATCTGTTCGAGGGTGACATGGTCACCTGGGCGAATAAAGGCCATTCAACCTGTGTCTAGGAGAGCCAACCACCAGCCTTCACGGAAAGACAAAGGGGGAGGTCACATGAGTAAGGGGTGTGCTCACCAAACATGAACAATGAGAGGAAGGAGGGGCAGATGGAAGAGGCTGGGTAACCCTCCAGAAACACGTTTTCTAGAGCTCCCCGAGCAGGTCCCCTTCCCAAGATGTTTCTGTCCTTCTCTGTCCCAAGAGAGTCATCTTCTTCTCAGGCCTCCTCGGGGCAACAGAGCCATGGGGGAGGCAGGAAGGGGCTATCAGTAGTATGGTGTTTTCCTTGAGGGGCCCACATTTTTTTCTTTATTGATTTTTAGGGAGAGAGAGAGAAAAAAACATCGATGGGAGAGAACATGGATTGGCCCCTCCTGCACGCCCCCCACTGGGGATCAGGCCCACAACCTGGACATGGGCCCTGACAGGGAATCGAACCAGCGACCTCTCGGTGCATGGGTCGATGCTCCCCCAGCGAGGGGTCTGCTGTTTAATCGGACATTTGTAACCCTCTACGTCTTCCTTATCACTGCTCTTCCTGCTCAGAGCTGCACCCGCGCCTGCCCGCTGCATCCCCACCTCCCTGCTGACCCCGCTGCTGGGGCTACTTCCGGTTCCTTCTCCACCTGACCCGCTGCCTGTGACCGTCTCTGAGCCCCGTGTGCAGGCCCCTTCCTGGGAGCCCGCTCTCCTTAGTGGAAATCATGCTCACCCCACTCTGGGTCACTTGCCTCTCATTTTCACAAAAGTTGCCAGGAGTTACTGCATTTCTGCGTGAGTCTGGAGGGCCCACGCGTGCGGATTTCCGTGGATTTCCACGGCGCAGACACCTGCGGCATCTCGGCCCGCGTGCCTCGCAGAGCAGCTGCCCCGCCCCAGCAGTTCCGCACCCCTGGCTTGGGTTAAAGGGACGCAGCCCAGTGTCCTCCCCTCACTGGGCTTTGCCCTCGGTTCCATGTCTCAAGGTGTAGGGGCCACGATACCAGTGGCACCCGCGAAGGGCTCCCGCAGAGAGGGCCACGCGCTGCCCGTGGGGACGTGGCCACAGCTGGAGGGCGCGGAGCTACCGCTTCCCCTGGACAGCTGTGCGGTTCTTGCTTCCATCGGCCAGGAATCCAGAGACGAGTAGAAGTTAGGCGTTTACAGGAACACGGGTTTGCTGCTGCTTTTCTTCCCACGACATACTGAAGATAAAGGCCTGTCAATCCCCGTTCTTCAGAACAGTAACCATCAGAGGGAGGGTGGGGAGGGCACCTGTCTCGCTCGTGTCTTTTCTCTGTCGGGAGCTGGCAGCTGAGCGATTGGGTTTCGGGAGTCGGTGCCCATCCCCATCTGGCTCACCCGCCAGAGCCGAGCCTCTGAATCAGAGTGTCATGGACACGTCCGTGCCTCCGCCGCTGTTCCCCCCTCCCTCGGCCCGGCCCGAACTTACGGGGGCCCAGTCCCCACACTCGAGGAACTTCTCACGCTAGGAAGAGCCGCCTTCTTAGGTAACATGGTTGTCACCAAGGCCACCAGCACTCAAGACGTTTCAACAGTCTCCCCCCCAAAGCCTGACATCACCTCTGTAGCTCATTTCCGTTCTTATAACGATCAGCCTCTCCAGGTGGCCCGTAGAAAACCCAGCCTGTGGACAGGAAGAAATGTGTCAGGCACTAACCTCTGAGGGTGAGTTTCTATCAGAGAAAAAGCTTTCCTGCCCTGGCTGGTTTGGCTCAGCAGTTAGAGTGTCGGCCTGCGGTCCAGAGAGACCCGGGTTCGGTTCCTGCTAAGGGCACGGACCTCGGTTGCGGTTTGTCCCCGGCCCTGGTTGGGTCATGCAGGTGGCAACCACTTGACGTGTCCCTTTCATGTCGATGTTTCTCTCTCTCTCTCTCTCTCTCTCTCTCTCTCTCTCCCTCCCACTCTATCTAAACAAAGAATGAAAAAATGTCCTCTGGTGAGGATATAAAAAAAAAAATCTTTCCTTCCTCCCCAATTTGAGAATATTGTAGGAGTTTGGATCCCAATATAAAGCAGTAAGTGACAAGGGATAGGACAGTGTCTCTCTGCCTTTTCCTAACTTGGCCCCTTTGGTAAACATAAGAATCTCACACTTTCCATATATTTGAAATTCTAATTATTTTTTTCCAAATATAAAGTTATAATATTTAATTCTCCCCCCCCCAACTAAAACACTTCCCCAGCCCAGCTGGTGTGGCTCAGTGGTTGAGCATCGACCCTGCACCAAGAGGTCGCCGGTTTGATTCCCGGTCAGGGCACGTGCCCAGGTTGTGGGCCAAACCCCCAGTTCAGAGCACGCAGGAGGCAGCCAGTTGATGTTCTCTCTCATCGATGTTTCTGTCTCTCTCTCCCTCTCCCTCTCTCTCTCTCTAAAATCAATAAAGAAAAAAAATTTTTAAAAATAGAACTAAAATACTTCCCCGCGCGGAGATTCCGACGGTGCTGCTGGAGTGGGGCTCGGCATCATTGCAGGGGGGCTGCCCAGCCAGGTGGGTTAGTGCTGAAGACGGAAGAGACCTGAGAGCGTGGGCGCCAGGAGGGAGGGCGAGGGCGGCAGACATTGGGATTGAGCTTTGCCCGAGAGCTTCAACCAAGACAGACCCTGCTCGATGCCGACACAGAATATTAAGGAGGCATATGGTTCTAGTTAGAAACAGCAAATGCCTTCCCTGTACACTCAGGGTACAAACATGCAGGTCAGGAAACCAAGGACGACGCAGTACTCAGAATAACAGTGACACCAGCATCCCTATACAATGTTGGACGGTGCTTGGCTCTGTTTCCAAAGCTCTTTTACCAAAGACAGATCTAGGGTCCCAGGGGGCCTGAATCTTATGCAATTTCAGAATGAAACTGAAGTTATTTAGGATGATAAAAGCAACCAAAGCAACTGCAAATTTTGAAAACCTGACAATTACTGCCAACACCGCAAAAACCAGGCAAATAACGTAAAGTTTTTGTGTTAATTAACTATCA